GAATCTACCAGCCCTTGGAATTCTCCTGTATTTGTGGTTAAGAAAAAATCAGGTAAATGGAGAATGGTGACAGATCTCAGGGCCATCAACAAGGTTATTCAACCTATGTGCCCTCTGCAATCTGGAATTCCTTTGCCCTCTTTATTACCAAAAGTTAATTGTTATTGATTTAATCTCATAGTTATTGATTTAAAGGATTGTTTTTTCACTATACCTTTGCAAAAAGAAGATAGAGAAAAATTTGCCTTCACAGTGCCTACTTACAACAATTCTCAACCTTCGAGGAGGTACCACTGGACCGTTCTCCCCCAGGGTATGTTAAATAGCCCCTCCCTGTGCCAATATTTTGTGAACCAACCATTGCAAATAATACGCAAGAAATTCCCCAAATCTATAGTATACCATTACATGGACGACATCTTGTTATCCGATTCAAACATGGATAACTTGAACAGACTGTTTGAAGAAATAAAGATACTTTTACCTAAATGGGGATTGCAAATAGCTCCTGAAAAGATTCAGAAGGGAGATTCTGTTAATTATTTAGGTTATAAAATAGGTTTGCAAAAAATTAAGACACAAAAAGCACAAATTAGGAGAGATCGCCTACGGACTCTTAATGACTTTCAAAGACTGTTAGGAGACATTTCCAGTCTACGACCAGCTATTGGAATAACACCTGATCTAATAATTCATTTGAACAAAACCTTGGATGGTGATAAGGATTTAAACAGTCCCAGAGAATTAACAGCTGAAGCAGAAAAGGAACTGACAATGATTGAGGAAAAATTACAACAGGCACATGTGGACAGGGTGAATCCAGAGCTCGATTGTATTCTCGTCATACTACCATCAAAAATTTCTCCTACAGGAATTTTAATGCAGAGAGATGATATTATTTTGGAATGGATCTTTTTACCACATAAACCAAGTAAGAAACTGAAAACTTATGTGGAAAAAGTCTCTGAGTTAATTATAAAAGGCAAGCTGAGACTTCGTCAACTAGCAGGCATAGACCCAGCAGAAATTATAGTGCCTTTCACTGCTGATGAACTAAAGAAATTATGGGAAGATAATGAACCATGGCAAAGAGCTTGTGCTAATTTTTTGGGAGACATTAATAACAACTATCCAAAAAGCAAGCGGCTTAACTTCATAAAGAGAACTTCTTGGATTCTTCCTCGAATCGTCCGTGATGCTCCAATAACCGGAGCCTGTACATTCTATACTGATGCCAATAAATCAGGGAAGGCAGGTTACAAATCAGAAGACTTGGATAAGGTGGAACAAAGTCCATATACTTCTGTCCAGAAGGCGGAATTATATGCCATTCTTATGGTGCTAAGGGATTTTAAAGAACCTATTAATATAGTTACAGATTCACAATACACAGAAAGAGTTATTTTACATATTGAAACTGCTTAATTTATACCTGATGATACTGAACTAACCTCATTGTTCCTCCAGGTTCAAGATTTGATCAGGAACAGGCTTTGCCCTATGTACATAACACACATCCGATCCCATACGGGTCTGCCAGGTCCTCTAGCACAAGGTAATGCAGAAATTGATCAATTATTGATTGGTAGTGTGCTACAAGCCTCTGAATTTCATAAAAAACATCATGTTAATAGCAAAGGTTTGAAGAAAGAGTTTTCAATTACATGGCAACAAGCTAAGGAGATTGTAAAGAAATGCCCTACTTGCTCTTTCTATAACCAAACGCCACTGCCTGCAGGGGCTAATCCAAAGGGCACCCAAAGGAATGAAATCTGGCAGATGGATGTGTTCCACTTTGCAGAATTTGGCAAATTAAAATATGTACACCACACCATAGACACATATTCAGGTTTTCAATGGGCTACTGCCCTGAGCTCAGAAAAGGCTGATTCAGTAATCACACATTTATTGGAAGTTATGGCCATCATGGGTATACCTGCGCAAATAAAGACAGATAATGGTCCAGCATATGTATCTAAGAAAATGAAACGCTTTTTTGATTATTATAATATAAAACACATTACAGGTATACCAAATAATCCTACAGGTCAGGCAGTTATAGAAAGATCAAATCGTACTATAAAGGATATGCTGAACAAACAGAAAGGGACTGAAAATACCCCCAGAAATAGATTACATAATGCTTTATTAACCTTGAATTTTCTTAACGCTAATGAGAAAGGAACGACAGCAGCAGAAAGACATTGGATAATGGAAAAGTCTGCTGAACTAAATCAACCGATTTATTTCAAAGATGTGCTGACCTCTCAGTGGAAGCCAGGAGATGTGCTACGTTGGGGAAGGGGTTTTGCTCTTGTTTCCACAGGAGAAGAAAAATTGTGGATACCATCAAAATTAATAAAGTTTCTATTTGAAGAGGAGAAACCTCTTGGAAAGGAGAAATGACAACTCATCCACAACGATGATATTCATACAGGTGGTAAGAAAAACATATAGAATGGGGGCAGGGTTCTGTTCTTATCTCCACAGGAAAACACTCATCTTTGAGAAATTCAAGGGACCCTGGATGTTTGGATACTGACAGATGGAAAAATACCTGCCCAATAGGAAATATCAAGAAAACTGAATGGGTTGTGTAAGTAATATTAAACCATATTTCTAAATTTATAAAGCTGGTTTTGAAGTTGGACTCTGGCTCAGTCCCTCTCCAATTCCAAGCCTGTTAGTAAGAGAAAAACCCAGAGTTTCTGGAGTTTCTGTCTCATGTCAAGAGCCATGATATGGGACAGAAAGAAATATGAGTTTAGAAAACATCTTTGCTTTTCTTCATATCTATCATACTTTTCATTGAATATATCTATCATGTCTTTCATTGAATATATATATATGTCTATATGATTAATGTTTAAGTTTTTCATAATGAACAATGAGTTTTTCCTGAAGTGACATTTGAAGTTTCCAGGAAGAAGATGGGGCCCCATAACAACAACTCCACCTGCTTGATATGACGTCATGATACTGATAGCGCTACTACAAGACCTGCTTTTGGTACCAGCTGCACAAGACAGTTCCAACTTGGTTAGCTGAAATGGTGCACATCTTATACAACATTTTGGCCAGACCTGCACGAAAATACTCAGAGACTATTTGCAATTTTAAAAGACATTATCTTGAAATTTAACCATCATTTTACTTTCACAGGATCCCCCAGAAAGAACGTCGCCCCTATGACAGCTGGAAGTAGTTCTAGAGAACGACGTCCCCTCTCCCAGTAAAGTTTGCCCTTGGGTTTAGGGACATCATTTAGGGGTTGATTATAATTAGTATATGATTGAGGGTTGGGGGAGGAATTTTATAAGCTCAGGGATCATTTTGAAAGAAAAAAAAAAGAGGGATGATGGGATAATAGACAAATATATTGGTATAGATTCTTGTATATTGATACAAAGTTAAATTATATTGACTATTGTACGCATGCATGTTTCTACCTCTGTTTAAAACATTTTTATGTATTGACATATATTGTATTGATATATATATATATTGTATATATTTACCATATTGCAGTGTACATTTCTACCTCTGATTAAGATACTTATATAATATTTGTGTATTGATATATATTTACCTACTGCAATGTATATTTGTACATTGTTTATATTTGGAGGTCATTGTCCTCATTTGTTTCACAGTCGTTTATTGTCTTATTCTTTAAGTTAGATAGATATTGAGAATTATATAGACTAATTGTCATCTAAGTTTGTCATTTATAATTAGACTAATCAGGTTCTTTAGATATATAGAGATTATACTCAGTATAGATAGATAATCTTCAACCTCTTCAAAGAGCTGTAGAAAATGGCCTTTAATCTAACTCAGAGTTTCGTGATAGTGAGACACAATTGCTCCTGGCAACACCGCTCTATTCCCGAGAAAATGTTGAGCACCAAAAACACTCCACCTGGAGCCTTTCTATTTGGCAGAACTGGCCTTTGGGCAAAGAAATGCCCATACCTCAACCACTGACACAGACACAGAGCGTGCATCAATGGATAAAACAGGACTGTCATATCCTGCCAAGACAGGGTAAGATAGTTTTGAAAAGTTCCTTGCCTTTAATAATGGTATGTCAGTTATGTTAGGCCTTAGCCAAAATTGGTTGACTCAACGTTGCAAATGAGACTTTGGGTGATTGCCCAGGTAGTCAGTTGTCTCTGTCAATTGTTGCACATTTTGGATATATCTCGTTTGTTGAGTAGTGTTTATTCCCTTCTCAGATCTTTGACTGAGTTGAAGATTATATAATTGTAGTTACTCTTTACATTATTTGGACTTCTTGAGATAGAATGTTTAGCAAAGCTTTTGTTCTCAATATTGTTTGTTGTATTTATTATTTGTTGTTATTGTATGTAGTTGTATTTGGTTTAGTTCTGTCTTATTTAGACAAAAAGGGGAGATGTAGGGATAAGTCCCGCCCCTTAAGGGGCGTGTTCGCCTCGGGCTAATGTCTGCCTATAAATTTGGCGAGCAAGCTCTGAGCTCTCGCTTCTGCTTTCCTGGTCTCCGCGGGAACGGTGGTTCTGTAAGTCTATTTCTACATTAAAGCTATATATATATTTTTACACTCTGTCTGCATTCATTTACGCCGTTACACATCGTGACCTTCACACTGAAGAACCCAGAAGAGGCCCAGCTACCAAATCCTCAGGGGCTCAGTGCACCCACTCTCGTGGGATTTTATCTGATGTATTGTTCAGAATTCTCGTAGGCTAGAACCTTTCCTGACAAGACTAGCTCCTAGAGGAAATTGACTCCCCAAGGCATCCATAGTCCCAGACCAGCTAGGGCTGGAGTCTCCTAAAAGTTGCCCAGGTCCTGGAAAGCACCTGCTTGGAGGACCGGACACTCAGACATCAGCACAGGATGCAGAGATAGATTCTGGCCTCTGCTCAATTAGAGGAAGATCACTTAATTCTCCCAACCTTGTTTCCAAACATTGACACAATTTGAGGACTTTAATTACTTGTTAAGGGACTTACCTTGTCAACGTGATTAGCGATTTCTATTAACCGCTGCTTGACTTTCTCCAGATCTTTTCCTTGCCTCTGAAACTTAACAAATTGAAATGCCAGCATTAATAACGGTAAGAATATCAGTCAGGGGGTCGGAGAGTTGGCTCAGCAGTAAAGAGCACTGGCTGCTCTTCAGAGGACCAGGGTTCAATTCCCAGCACCCATATGGGAGCTCACAATTGTCTGTAGCTCCAGTTCCAGGGGATCTGGCACCCTCACACAGACATGCAGGCAAAACACCAATGCACATAAAATAAAAATAAATCATAAAAGAGTATACATACATACATATACATACATGTGTACACACACACCAATCAGGATTCCTCTTCCCAGATCCTGAGATGTAAAGTCCTGGGCTTTGGTGACACCCTGTACTCTGGAGGGGATGGGGGTCTCCACATTTACAGTGTAGGAGCTCACATCACGCCAGACAGTTTCCCAGCTGGGGAGTCCCTGTGATTCTTACAATAGGTGTGCATGTGCTCAAGCCAAAGACTCATGCACTAACTTCTGCAGCTCCTCCAGCCTCATAAATGATGGAGGCGGGGGCATGTTTTGGCAAGGAGAAAATGGACAACGGGAAGGCTGTCCAAGGCCACTTTTCACATCATCAGCTGGATTTTAACTTCCTGAGAAATTTCCTTTAGATTTGTTTTTAAACATTAAATATGAGAAGCAAGAAAAGCTCATAACAACATGTCCAAGACGGAGAATGGAAAAAAAGTTAACAAATTCCCCATTCTCTCCTCTAAGCTGACCTTCCAGAATGGGATGAGATTTCTGAGACATTGTCAAGCTGGTTTCATTGATGTATGGTGAATGAGTTTAGGAGAAAAATGCCACCAATTTATACTACATTAATGGGATGGTAAGAAACCATAGGGAAGATAATCTGAGGAAAATTGATTCAAAATGAAATGGAAGAAAAAAATCAACGGTACAAAGCATATCACAAGAAGGAAGGATTTCTCTACCACGTCTTCATTCATTCATTCATTCATTCATTCAGGTTAAGATACATCTAACTTTCCCCAAAATGTCAGAGTGTAATTGAAAGCCACCTATAACTCCCCCTAGATATTTCCCCTTTCTTAGCGAGCTTAGCCACAGAGAAACACTGCATTTTTTTGGGGGGGTGTATACTTTGCAATTATTTTATTACACTAGATACATGTTAAATAGTTTGTGCTTCCCCAGATTGGAAAAGTGCAATTTTGATGCTCGTCCCCATGGTTTTTAAGAACACACTGACCATGGAGGGAAAGTGAGTCCTAGCTGGCTAAGCGCTTCCTCATGCTTCTTTTTGAAATCAATTGTGCTGAGAAGTTTCACAGGCCCTTACCTCTCGGTTGTCTGCCACAATCACCAGCTCCACGTACTTGGTCATTTTAAGGGTCTCTCTTTTATGCTGCCGAAAGAAAGCGAGAGTTTAGTTTGCCTTAATACTTCCCCGGGGCTTCCAGCACATCGCTCATGTCTCTCAGACAATAAAAATAAAAATAGACAAGACAACAACGATATTTGGAGGACAGAGTCTTCCTCCCGTGGGCTTTGTGGCTGTGTACCATCATCCAGAAACTGACTCCCAGCCCCAGTGATCTCTTTGTGAAGCCACAACTGGGGTGATCCGGTTTCCTCTTTCATGTGGGAAATCCTAAAAAGGAGTTTAACATTCTCGCTGAATCATTGATTGTGGGTTCAAAAGAAGTCAAGGTCATTTTTAAGCAAAAGGAACACCTAACCAACTCCAAAGAACATTCTAGAACCAGAGCCAGCCAAAGGCGTGTTGTTGCAGACTCCACAAGGATAAGGAAGTTTGCTGAAGACACACCGGAGTCCAGCTTGTCACTGTTTCTTGTACTTTTATGGCCCAGGTACATCTGCGCCACAATCTTGGGAGAGCAGTGGAGAATACACTTTGTAGAGAAATCTGCGATCTCCCTGGGAAAATGCCTAGTTCTTTCTAGGGAGTGGATGCTTGTGGCCAATCATTTAAACATCTAGTCTGAAGCAGGGGAAGCCTGAGAGGCAAAGGGGAGGTGAATCGAGACAAAACTCAAAGGTTTTTGCAGCAGAGAGAGAAAGAAGCAGCAGTATTTTTAAGACTGTGACATGTGAGGGTTAGGGCTGGCAAGCGTGGAACGGCTGAGAAGAATATGGAAGCTGTCAGGGTGCAGGAGAGGGACACTCAGCGGTAGAGATACACACATCCAAACAAGATGGCCTCTGAGGCAGGCTACATTTTAATCGAGCTTCCTCCGAAAACATTTTCACTCTTCTGTAAATTACTGGGAGGATCCCAAAGGCATTTTTTTAGGGGAAATAAACCAGTTCGTGGAGGGTGGTCTCCAAAATCAAACATTGAAAACAAAAAAGCAAAGCTTTCTGCTTCTGCAGTAACACACGGTTGGGGGAAGAGGAGGGTTGATCTCGTGTCTGGTCCTCCCAACCGAAATTGCTGGTTTATGACTTAAGTCTCATACAGGGCTTGAGCTGAACACTCAATGTTACAACCACTAGTCCAGACAAAAGCAAAAGGGATGGAGGCATGCTTTGAATCAGGTTTCCAGTCACATAATCTGGAGGGAAACATCTTTCATAAAACAAATCTCCACCAGGCCGGAATCTTCCTAACAGATTTTTACAAGAAAAATGTTTGTGTTATCGTGGTGTTCCCGCTTGCTGCCCAGCTGTGCTGATTCATGGATTTAGGTGTCCCCGAAGAAATCTGGAAACCTCATGGAGGAAGGGAAATAAAGTACCATGGAAGGTATGATTTCTCACGCTTTTACAGCGCTGCAAGGAGAAACTGTCAGGCTTGGTAACTGTATGTACAGGCAGGTTTCACGGTCCTGAGCTGGGAGCTCAGGCCAGCACCCCTCCCCGCCCCCCCCCCCCACCGTGGGCTCAAAATGAGACACTTCTGGAAACGAGAGCGCCTTAAGCTTTTTCTGTACCGAGGGGTCAAAGAAATCGAAATCTCCTCACCCTTTCTCTTCCCCCCTCCCCGTGATGTATGCATGTATATGCATGTGTGCTCTTGAAGGGGTACATGTGTGCATGCACATCCATGTATACGCATGCAGGTGGAGGTCGGAGGTTGCCGACAAGTGTCTTCCTCTAACTCTCTCTACCTTGATTTTCTGGGACATGATCTCCCAGTGAACTGGGAGTTTCAGTTAGGTCTGTCTGCCAGGGAGTCCCTGGGACCCAGCAGTCCCCACTCCTCTGCCAGTGCTGGGGTGGCAGGTGCTTGCTTGTTGCGCCTGGCTCTGTAACATGGGTGCTGGGGGAGCTGAACAGAACAGAATGCACTTCGCTGATTGAGCCATCTCTTCAGCTCCCGGGAATCAATTTCTCTCTCCTCTCCTCTCCTCTCCTCTCCTCTCCTCTCCTCTCCTCTTCTCTCCTCTTCCCCCTACAATACCCAGTTCAGTCATGAACAAATTCAGCTAATTATGCAGACAAAAACAAGGTTGTGGAAATAGAGAAATAAATTAATCTCTCATGAAAAACCCATCGGAAAAGGGCTGGTTGCTTGGGCTTTTGTACTTTTCAGACTGCAGAGGGTGAAATCTATGACCAGAGGACATTTCCAACTGGCCTGGGACCATCATTTAGAAAACACACAATCCCAGATAATGAAAACAAACACACGAACACAATTTTCCTGTCTCTGCAGTTTTCAGAGGAATCCACATTTTCTCATGAATTCAGAGAATTGCATGCTCAGAGAGAAGTTTAACCACATCGTAATGAAAAGCCACAGGGGAGGGGCCGACTCCCTGAAGGAGAGGCTTAAATTACCTCCATGTGATCTCTACCTATCTAGGCTGTCCAGTTTTAAAAATATATATATTTTAAATTTGTGATATGGGCAGCAGCATTGGAAAGTGCTTGTTTGACTGGATTTTCATTCTGCAGGATTGTGAGCAAAAGCTTGTTCCCAGGCAGGAACCCGAGTCTCTGAGTTTCAGCTCCAAGGTGGGGACTGAGTTAGAGACAAGGTACCCAAGAGGAACTTGTTCCGAGACCTCTGAAAGTACCCTCTGAGGAGTCTGCTGTAATGCCTGGCATGGAGAGCTTAACTCAGTCAAAGAAAGCAAGGGAAGACCAGGGTACCCATGTGTTTCCACAGCAATCCTGTCTTCTGATGGCCAGACCATCGGCAGACATTTGCTTATCTCCCAGTGTCTTCTGGGAGCTTGCTGTGTGTTACATGGTGGGTTAGGTACTGGAGATATAGGGATGGAGAAGACCAAGGCCACTCACTGCCTTCCTAAAGCAATTCGTTTCTCTGCTATTGGGATGCATAGTTTGATTTTCTTCTTAGCAGATTTAGCCTTTGTCTCTCTCACAAAGCTTACTAAGGTGGCTACTAAAATCCTTTGCTATTCTTTTTGTTTGCTTGCTTTGAGATGTGGTCTCATGGAGCCTTGGCTGGCCTCTAACTTACTATGGACCTGAGGCCGACCTTGTACTCCTGATCTCCCTGCCTCCATCTTTAGAGTGCTGGGATCACAAGCACGCACCACCATATCCAGCTCATCTGATGCCAGGGTTAGCCCTTAAAGCCACATGTGTGGGCAGCGGGCACCTTGCAAATGGAGCTACCTCTCAAGCTTTCTGTTTCCATTTGTGCAAGCATAGCAATGGGGAGGGAAGGAGTTCAGGCAGGTGAGCCCAGTACCAAGATACGTTAGGCTGGACTTAAAAATTCCCAAAGAGAAACCCACGACACCTCCGCCTTCCAGAAGCAAATGGGGCTCTCACTATAATCTAACATAGAGCCTTGTAAAAGTGACAAACAGCTCAGCTTTATATGATAGCCAGTGTGACTGCCTAGATCAGATGGATTCCTGGTGCTCCCTGCAGAAAAATGCAAACATCTGCAGAGAAACCGAGATGGTTAACATTGGGGGGGGGGCAGGTTGGGAAGATGCAGAGAAACCGAGATGGTTAACATTGGGGGGGGCAGGTTGGGAAGATGCTGGAGAAGAGCAACGGTGCTTGACGCACTGCATAAACAAGATTAATTAGCTGCAGTTATATTGATTTTTTTTAAAGTATAGAATAAAAGGCAGCATAGTGAGGCAAGGGATGGGCATGCAATTTGAATCTCTGCTCTGCCCGTTCACCACAGCGCTCTCCAAAATGATTTTCTAGGTGCCTACAACTCACAAGTATTCTTCCTATTGGAAAATTATTTTTTGTACTATCTTTATTATCTGCTCACAGTTTAGGGTAAGTTCTTGTGGGAGACCATCATAGGAAATGTCCAAGCAAGAGTGGGAGCCGGAGTGAACAACACTGGCATCCATGCCTTCCCCTTCCATTTAAAGGTTCACTTACGTTCCCAAATTAGCAGGCTTTCTCATTTCTCTCCATGTCAATGGGACTGGAGATGATGGTGCCAATCATGGTTCCAGGGAGCTGTGTATGCTCAGAGAATTAAAATACAGTCAGCAAGCACAGAGCAAGTTTGTACTTCTAAATGGAAGGGGAGCACATGTGAGCATCATTTAAACTGTCAAGTTGTAAATCATGCAATGTGGCTAACAGGCATTCAACCAGGTACTCAAAGCCAAGAGCCTGGAAAACAAAATGCAAATGTTCTACTTGTTTATGATGGGTGAGGCTTGGCTCAGTCACATCCTAGCTGGGGTCTGGACTCAAAAGCAGGCATGTTTGAAGAGTGAAATAAACACGAGAGGGACTAGAGAGACTGTCTCTGATGCCAGCTCTTGAGTCTGTCACTCAAGAGAGGTGGGGCAGGAGGAATGCAAGAGGGACCCTTCCAGAGCTGAGATGCTATTGCTGCTCCTAGGGATATTTCTCTCTCTCTGTCTGTCTCTCTCTCTCTCTCTCTCTCTGTCTCTCTCTCTCTGTCTACCCCCAATAGCCCCTCTCATGTGCATGTGAGTGTGTGTGTGTAGGTTCATGTGCTCATATGTGCAGGTATGTGGAGGACAGAAGAAAGCTTCAAGTATTCTTCCTCAGGACATCATTCATAGGTTTGTTGCTATTGGTTGATTAGTTTTGTTTTTGTTTGTTTTGCTTTGATTAAGACAGAAATGTTCACTGAACTTGCCAAAAAGTCTAGACTGGCTGGCCAGGGAGCCCCAGAGATCCTTCTGTCTCCACCTTCCCAGAGCTGGGATTACAAAATAGAATCAGCATGTCTGGCTTTTAAAAAAATGTATTAGTATAAGTTCTGGGGCTCACACTCAGGTATACGTGCATACACTTTGCTGACTGAGCTATTTTCCTGGCCTCATTTTGTTATTTTGAAATAGGATGCCCTGAATTGGCTATGTAGTGAGAATGCCCTTGAACTCTTCATCCCTACCTCCACCCTCCAGTGCTAGGATTTCAGGGGTACACCACCACCCCTGGAATTTCTGGGTAGTTTTAAGATCCTGGAATCCAGATAGACTTTCATCCTCATTCCTTGAGCATCAATGTCAAGGTGAACAATAGCAAGTAAAGGGAGAGTTCTTTCTGTGAGGAGGCAGAAAAACTAATGTTTCGGGCATTTTACATGGACCATTTTGGTAATCATTAAAGGGGAAAGGGGACTGGATCTCATGACAGAGAATCTGGCCAGACAGGGCAAAGTCCAGAACTGGGTGGCTGAGAATGGTTTAAATAGACAGTCTGGCCAGGTATAAAGAGAATGATAGGAAGGGGCAAATGAATGGAACAGAACTCTTGTTGTTTAAACTTGGAGGATTCAGCGGGGTAGGGGGTAGGTCAGTGGTAGAACACTTGGCCTAGCGTGCATGAGGCCCAAGTAGTGCTGGAAAGCAAAAAGGAGGGAGGGAGGGAGGAAGGAAGGAAGGAAGGAAGGAAAGAAGGAAAGGTAGATGGATGGGTTAGAATACACCAAGAATCATCTTCATGGAATGTTGACAGGTATATTGTTAGCTCAAAGTTAGGTGACTGTTAGCTAAAACTTGGAAAGATAAAATGTGTTGAGGGATATGAAGAACATGTTACTCTCACTGTCCTTGCCAATAAATGTTAGCAAAGGGGGCACCATACGTTTGATATTTAAATACTTATTCTCAAGTGAAGAATAGAAAACACACACATACTCGCCCCTACCCCCAAATAAAACAAAAGAACCAGGAAAAGGTTAATACTTTCATCTCTGGTTATAAACTAGTAGTGGAAAAGACCCTTTGCTTCGGGCCAACAAAGCCCCACTGTGGTCTGTATGGCCCATGTGAATGACCATGAGCAGGTACCATAGGGTAGAGTCGTTCCAGGGTATGATGGGAAATGTTGGTGAGGGGAGTCAGCTTGTAGTTAGACTCTGTAGACAACTCCAGTGCTGCAGCAAAGAGAGTCATGGCACGAGGCTGGAAAAGGCAGGCTGCTGCACAGCCCTGGAGGGCAAGGACAAACACTAGCAGCATGGCCTAAGGATAAACAAGACTTCAGGAAAACCGCGGGAGAAGGCTCAGAGGCTCTCTGCATAAGCAGGTGGGTAAAGGTGGTTCATTTTCTATAACCAGTTCTGAGATTTCAAACCGTGGAATAGACCATGGGCTAGGAAACCTCAACATGGAGAATGAGAAGGGGCGGGGAGCCATGCTTGTTTTGCTGGTCACCCTGCTGTCTATGCTTGTAGTGACCTTGGCAACCTCCTGACCCGGATGATGAGATTTCACTCATCACATGCTAACGAATCTGATGCTCACACCTGCAGGGAAGAGGCAGGGGTTTGAGTTTGTGACCATACTCATCCCAGGACATCCCCTGCCTCCTGAGGGATGCGGGTCTTTCCATCCACACTGCATCCAGCAGCAAGGCTGCTCCAGACCTTCTAGGCCTGCATGTCCCTTTCCTTCAGCCCTCCACTCAGGAAGCATGAACTTGAGATTCCCTCTTACCCTTCTTGACCACATTTGAGAGGGTTCAGTGGAGACAGCTTCCATGGTGAGGCTGGAATGGTTATGATGTGACCCACACAAGCCCTGGATGCTCTTCATGTTCTCAGCTGGGACGAGTTTGTACCTGTCGGTGGTGTTCTTCATCGGCTCTAAGATGTAGGTCTTATTTTCAAACACGATAAGCCCCCTGTTGAAAAGGGAATACAAATATTCATTTTAAGGATAGTTCCTTATTTATGATGAGGATAGATATTTAAAAATGATTTATTTTTACTTTTACTTATGTCTGTATTGGGGTGTGTGTGTGTGTGTTCGCGCGCGCATGCACACTCACATGGAGACCAAAGGTGTATTTTAGAACTCTTGGGTCACTTTGCACTGTATTCTTTGAGGCAGGGTCTCTCAATCAATCTCAGAGGTCACTAATGACCAGTCAGACTAGACAGCTTGCTCCAACCATCACATCTGTATACTTTGCAAGGCTAGAATTGCAGCTGTTATGTCCATTGTGCATTTACTTGGGGTTTGGGGATCTGAACTCCAATCTTCTTGCTTGCACATCAAATGAAGAGCCCATTACAGACTCAAGGAAGCCTGTGAGAGCCGCCCTGTCCTGTGGCTGGGCCAGGGCTATCTGGGCCCAGCAGCTCCGGGTTCGAGCTGCAGCTCTACCACATCCTACCTATGCAAGCTTGTTTAGGCTCCTGAGTGTTGGGAGCTTGGATTTGTTACCAGCACCATGTGGGTAACAATAACTTCCTGTCATGATTGCTTCACTGACAGCCAAATTACTGTTTACATGGTGGCATCTCTCTTCCTCGGATGAGGATAGATCCACACATCAGGCTGCTGTTTGTGGGTCATTTCAAAGACTGACAGTTTGAGGTGAATCTTATACTCTGTGAATGGATCCTGCTCACGGGAATGCTGGCCCTCGGGGGCTCCCTGGTAGTCAATGCAGCATCTGTAAGATACACACCCTTCTGGGAATAACAATGACCAAGCGGAACCCTGTGAGCCAACAGTTAGGCACAGAGTTTTAAAATACATGGACAGAGCAACCGTGGGTAAGACAGTATAGTTTAGAAGCCAGAGCAGACAATTGATTATAGTCAGGGAAGCAAAGAGAATGGGGGTACCTCATCACTCCCCTATCAGCCTCCAGGATCCATTTGGTCAAAGCTCTAACAAACTTCCTATGCTATTGAACCCGGACTCGCTGCGGCCACAGATGCAGATTCCAGCAAACTCCAGCAGTTGACCGCAAACCAGGCGAAAGGGCCTTCTCCAGAAAACCCGTAAAAGCTGTGTTAATAGAGATTTTATTGACTGGGTCCCCAGAGATTGCCACCGGAACCCTGTTAATGTCCCAGTGGGAACAGTGAGGCAGTGGGAGCCAAGCGTAAGCTCTAACCACTGCTCTGGGCCTTGCAGAGCCACCCCTGCTGAGACCCTGCGAATCAAGCAAGAAGGCAACTAGATGGAAGTCACCTCAGCTAGCCCCAGTTCAAAGAACAGAGCCAAGCAGCTCATTAAGAAAACTCCACACAGAGGTGGAGCTAGGAACTCACAGGAGAAGAACAGAGGATAGCTCAGAGGAGAACAAGGCAGGCAATGCAGGGGGCCTGCTGTGCAAGGCAAACCCCCAATATCCAGGGCATTGACTGCGTTCTCTTCTATCTCCATTGAGCTCTCAGCCCTCTCCCCACAGCTTCAGTCCCCCCCCCCCCCCCCCCCGCCCAACAATGATGATTCCTGCCGTCAGCATCAGGCCACAGCAATGGGCTGGAGATAGATCCTGGTGTCTGTAACATCAGTCCGAAGGAGGGGAAGCTCGCCCATCATGACTCTACTACAACTCGACGCTTCTGAACTATACCATGCTATATACTGTACTATATATATACCATGCTATATACTGTACTATATACTATGCTATATACTATAAAGCCCTTGCACTGAAAGAAGAGAGGTGACCTGAAAAGAATCAAAAACCATAACTAACCATCTAACCTCACATGGGCAGACCCAAGGGCAAAGACAGAAGGAACATGAAATATCAGGACTGTGTGTCTTCTCCCAAATCAGCAAATCTAAAGTCGTGGCTCCTCATGAAAGGGACTCAGACAAAATGCTAGTCACAGAATTCAAAGGAATGATTATAAAGATGTTCAAACAATTTGGGAAGGGCACAAATATTTTCCAAGAGAGCACAAACAAACAGCTGACTAGATACGGAAGACAATTCACGATACGGAAACAGAAAGGAAAGAGACACTGAGGGAAACTCAACTGAAATGAAAAACACAATGGAGCCAATGAAAGTTCAGTGTAAAGCTTCACCACCAGAATAGCCCATGATGGGATGCAAGGGGCGGGAAGACAAAACAGAGCAAGCGGGTCAGTCCATCAGGGCCAGGGACAGACTTTTTAAAAAAATATATGAATGGAACATGCAAGAACTTGGGGACACACCACAAAATGGTAAATATCACAAATCATGGACACGGAAGGAGGAGAAGACTTTCAAGCCAAAGATGAAGCTATTTCTCAGAAGAAAATAACCATGGGAAAAAATATCTTCAAATCTAGGGAGAGAGAAGCCGACCCAGATTCAAGAGGGACACTGAACACCAGACAAGACTGGAGAAGGGGCTTCCTGTGTCAAATCACACTTTAAGAATGTACAGAACAAGGGAAGTACACGGAAAGCTTCCAAGGAGAAGGACCCGGCCAGCAGGAAAGACAAGACCGTCCGAACAATTGCTGGCTTTTCAATTAAAACCTTAAATGCACAAAAGGCTCAGTGTGAGGTATTTCGAAACCCTAGCGATCACAATTGCCAACCCGGCTGACTGTAACCTGCAGAACTATCTCTGTAACTGAAGGTGATAAAGGCAGGCTAAAGGAACCCATGATTATCAAACCACTCCTATGGAGAACACCGCGGGGAACTCTTGGGACTGAAGAGAAAGTAAACACATTCAAGAGGCTGAAGGAGCAAAAAAAATAAATGATACTAAAAAGAAATTAAATCAAAGAGTACTAAGACATCCTCAGACGCCATACAATCAACAAGAATGATGGGGGCACACACACGCCTGTCAGTGATAACTCTGTCTGTGGATAATCTCAGTTATCCCATCAAGACTGCCAGACTCGAGGACCAGATTAGGGAGCAGAATTCTTATTTTGATGCCTCCAAAATGTGCCTTCTACCCCAAAATAAACATCACCTCAGAGAGAAAGAGTAAAAAAAAAAGTATACCAAACAAATGGAGCAAGGAGAAGCCGACGTTGTTATCGTAATATCTGACAAGACAGACTGAGGCCAGTTCTCGTCAGAGGAGATAATGTCACTTTACACTGACCAAGAGAACCGTTCATCAAAAGAAAACATAACTCTAAATATGTGTGTTCCAAATGCAGGCTCAGGCCATTTCATAAAACAAGTCCTTCTGGATCTAAAGTCACAGAGTAACTCTAACTCGGTCGTGGGTGACTTCACTGTCTCACTGTCACCGTTAGACACACCAGCCAGGCAAATATTAATGACGAAGGGCTGGGATCAAATGACATCAACTGTTTTCTTCGAGTCTACTTAACGTTTTTGGGACAAGGCCTCTCAATGGCCCTAGAGTTTGCTGGTTTGGTTGGACTGGCTGTCCAGAAAGCCCCAGGGATCCTTCTGTCCCCTCCTCCCCAGCACTGGGACCATAGGCTCACACAGCTACAGGTGTCTTTTACATGGGTTTAGAGACCGAGCTCAGTTCCTCACACCTGCAAAGCTAGCCCTTTAGGAACTGAGAGCTCTCTCCAGATCATAGCTATTCTTGCTGGACACCTTCCATACTCAAATGCTATGGAGGGAAGAGGGCTGAGGGATTAGGTATCTCTTTGGGTTGAACCTTAAATACAGTTACTAACTCAAGACAGATCGGCGCTTCTTTTGCCAACTTTGTTGAGGTGTCACAGGCAGTGGGAGGCACATATCACTGCTAGGATGTTCATCCTCTAAGAGAGAGGACAGCACCCAGGCATGGAGCTGTTAGAAACCAGAGAGAGCTGTGGAGGATTTAGGAAGAATCAGTATGCCATGGCAGATAAAGATAGCTCCAGATAGCTGCCCCCACCCCACCTCCCCACAAGACAGTATCCATGAGCGTGTCTAGATCTATGACCCGGGCACAACTCTGGGCTACAATTATGAGGGGCAGCCTGCATCTCTTACACTGAACTGCTTCCTGAAATAAAGCTAACATTTCTAAGTTTGTAATGGGTGACTGGAATTTTTGTTCATTACTCTTGATTTTAGGAAGCCCAAATTAATGGGAAAAAAAACCTTAAAAAACAAAGCAAACAAGAAAGACAAAGTAGAAAGAAAGATGATTGAAAGGCAAATACAGCTCCTTTGCACTATACCATATGTTATCAGCTGTTTTCTGCAATTCTTACCCACCCAGTCAGCTGGGGACACAGAGTGAAACATGGCATCATGCTCTCATCATGAGAGAAGCCAGTCGCTGAAAGGTGTTTTTTTCTACTTACTGGAAAGTTCTAGAAATTGTTACTTGGTCATAAAAATGTTCTCATATCTCCTTTTATCTTTTAAGTTATCCAAAGGCCAGATGTTGAGAAACAGGGGTGAAGGCCGCCCCTTTGCTCCACACAGTTGGCAGCCCACAATACAGCATAATTAAATAATTGCTTTGGACTATCTTGGGTATAATTAATCATTTAGCTGTAAAGATCTCTGCAAAGAGCAGTCCAAGATTCAAGCACTCAAGGTTTCTGAGATGTAAAAATGCGATGTTCTCACAGCCCTCCCTGGCCCCAAGTTAGATAAGGGAGGGAATTTGTTTTAGGGTAGATGTCATAAATGTTTGATTATAAACTTCAAGTTGGAAGAATCTCAGAGTAGAGAATTTGAGTCTAGCAGATTTTGAAAGTAGGGTTCTACCCTCTCCAGTATGCAAGGAGGGAAGGCCCAAGTCAAGACGATGCGCGAGTGCTTGGGAAAGATAGAGACTGTGGGTTCAGTCTCATTGTCCCTGTCACTGTGGTGGCCTTCATGCAGCTGAAGTTCCAGTCATCATTCCCAGCATCTAAGGTCCCAGGCAGCTCAAGGAAGATCTGGGGCTCCACTCCTGACCCGTGCATCTGAGGCTTGCATTTCTTGGTGCACCC